TTCCTTGGCAAGAAGCTCGGTTGTTGAGGGAACTGGGATGCTTCATTCCCTGTCTTGGGATGCTGTGGGATGTGCCTGTTCTCCTTCCTTCGGCTTTGCTGCTGCAAAGAGCCGGTATTCCCTTGTTTTCTTTCAGTGTAACGCTGTTCTTCCGCATGAGTCTGGGCAATCTGTTTGCTTCTCAGAAAGAGAAGATGAGATTGGCCTTTTTAAAAATATTTTTTTTCCCATTTTTTAGCAGCTAGCGTCAGCAATCTGAATGCTGCTACTGAAATGGAAGCTTTTAATTTCAAGGTCGTAACACTAAGAAAAGCTGCAAACAGAGGTGTGACAACTGAAGCAATGTATTTGTAAAGGAGGGAAAATGGCGTGTGGTAGGTCATGTTTTGCAGGCTAAGCATTGCAGTCTTTCTTTAAGCAGTTGCTATGTTCTAGAAGTTTTTCTCTTGGATTTCAGTGCTGTAAAAGGAAAAAGGTAATTGCCAGTTTCAGGGAAACTGTTTTCTTTTCTTTTAATTGCTGGCATCCTCCATGTAGTATGTTCTCATTGCATGAAAATAAACCAAAAGCATTTTTAGGTGGTGAATAGGGAAGAGATCTGTAGTCCTTGTTTCTCCCAGAACTGTAGTCTTACCGTGTTGGAGTGCACTGAACTGTCTTTCTTTTTTTAGTTTGCTTTAATTTTGAACGCTTAAACAAATACTGTCATCTGAAGAAAGCCATTTGTATAAGGCAACATTAAAATCTAAGTTATCCTCTGAGAAGCTGATAGGCATTTTGGTAATGAAAAGTACCTTGTGAAGTAGAGTGAGTTTGCTTTTCATTGCAACTGAGTTCAAGTGTTCAGAGGCCTGATAGCATATCTGCGGCCTTTGCTGGAAGTGCTGCCTGTTCATTCATGAATGATTAACAGGTTGTTTTATTTAAAAGCACGTATCTGCTTCCTACTGTGTCGGTATAAAAACTGTATTCTGAAAAAGCTGTGTCTACAGTCCCTATTTGAGGAATGTTGTGTGTTGCTCCTGGAAACTTTGTCCTGCCTGCCTGAAACTCTCTCTTCCTTATCAATTTGCAAGGATCTAGTGCTAGCAGGCTTTTCTGAGAGGCTGAACTTAAATACGGCAGATTTCTAAAGTATTAAAATACAAAGCATTACTGAGCTCAGGGAGAGGTCCTTATATTCGTAAAGTTGTCGTGGTGCTTAATGGGCTGTACAATTTTCATTCGAGCTGTAGCATCATAGAAGTATTTCTGTGTTCTAATTTTTCTTTATCCTTTTCTAGCAAGAGTCCTTCACTGTTCTTAGCAGAAGAAAGCAGCGTGAAAAAGTCTGAAATCCATATCAAACAGCCAATGAATGTTGAAATGTTTTGAATATAAGGCATTTTGTGTGTGCGTGCATGGGCACGTTGAAGGACGTGTTCTTGTGATTCTGATAGTGAAAAGACAAGAGTCTCTTTTGGTAGATTTAATTCCATGTTTATGAGCATTCGGAGCTTGTTAGTGCAAAAACGAAGCTCAGGGAGTGAAATTCTAGTTGGAAGTCCTTGTGTACATACAGAGCTGCTTAGTGTTTAGCATATATTTACGTTTCCCTTAACTGTGTATGTCTGGTTTTGGGAAAACAGCCGTGGAAGTGGTCAGAAGCTATTTTGATCTAGGTAATACTTTATCTGTTTGGATTTATATATTGGTAATAAGTAATGGGTTTGGTAAATAAATGGAATACAGTTAAATCAATACACTTTGGGGCTTGAAACTATTAAAGGCTTTTGCAGAACCCAGTCTTGAACTTAAAACAGTCACCGTAAAAGAAACGTCGGGGTGGTGCAGGGCACGGGAGCTCTGCAGGGCCATCTCATGGGACCTGCCTCTGCAGGACTCTCCTTCCTGTAGTCGGCAGGGGAGAGGATTGACCTTCCTGCCAACGCTGATGTAGAAAGTACCCTAAAGTTAACTTCAGGAAACTCCGAGCTTTCTAAAAGCTCTTTTTCTCCTCA